GAGTAACTGGTATAAATAAAGTAAACATCAGCTTACCTTCGAAGTCAAATCAATTGCTCCTTTTGCGTTTCAAGTTCCCACCAAATTGCATCGGTCAGCATAATTGAATTTCACAATGAGATGCGTATTGTGTATTAAGAAAAAAGGTTTAACACCCGAGTTTTAAAATAAAAAAATAAATTTTTTTAATCATCTTCAAACAACGAATTTAATTTGCATGCAAACTGCGTAATTAAAAGTCGAATAAAAACTACGCTGTGTGCATAGGTATGCTAACATACATACATATGTTCATTGAAATCTGTGTGAAATAATTATTAATTTACGTTGCGTTACGTTTATGTTTGTTAATATACGTATGTAGGCAAAACATTTATTACAACACATTACCGATTTCATTTTGTTAAGAAAAACGTGCTCAAATAAAAATAAAATTGTAAAAAAAAATCATTTTGTATACCCTTGCAGAGGGTATTATTATTTCAGTCAGAAGCTTGCAACGCAGTGAATGAGATTTTTCCAACCCCATAAAGTATATATATTCTTGATCAGCATCACTAGACGTGTCGATCAAACTAGTCCCTCAGTTTTAAAGCTATCGGGCTGAAACTTTCCCAAAAATCTTCTTTCTTTTGCAGGTAGTATATAAATCGGAACCAGCCGGATCGAACAACTATATCTTATAGCTCCCATAGGAATAACCGAAAAAAAATTTTCAAAAACTTAAAAAAATTATACTTTTGGTGTTTTTAAACATATAACCTCCTACGCTTGGAAAAAACATTTTTAAATTAGTTCTGAATTTCAAATTAAATTTTATGAAAGTCAGTTGGACGACTATATCATATAGCTGCCATAGGAACGCACAGAAAATTGGTGGGAAAATAAAATGAATCACATTCTAGGTTCGGTGTTTTTTGACATATTATCTTATACTATTGGGAATATAATTTTTTGTATTTTTAAGAATTTCGAACTAAATTTAACAGTTATAACTTCAAGGGTATACAAGCTTCGGATTCCCGAAGTTAATTTCCTTTCTTGTTGTCGTTGTCACTCATTAAACCGCACAGTTCCCCCATATACAAGGAAGTGAATTTGGAGTGATAAAGAAGCCGCTTATTTCGATAACTTTGCGGTTATTTCCATAGAGGATTTCGGTCTCTTTCCTCTCACTCTCATTTTTTCTAAGTCTTTCCCTTGCGTCCCTCATCAACAACCGCAGAACCGAGATTGATTTTAGTTCGAAATATCATCGCTTGTGTCATTAAACCGAGAAGAAAAATGTGAGAAGACTAAAACCGAGAAGAACTGATCTCGGTTTTGTCCGTTCTCAATTTTTCTGGGTGTTCCATATCCCGCCTTGGATAGCAGACGTTCCCGAGGTATTAAATCCTACCAATGTCGAGTCTGCCAAGATATCCATCGTCTCCTGTTACCACTTTTACAATTAGGGTATTCAATTGCGTTGCAATCGTTTGAAAAGTGTAAAAGTGTAAGCAGTTCCAACAAAAATTTTCATACAAAATAGTTTTCAAGGCCTACAACACCCCAGCCTATGTATACAAATCTGTTGTACTTGTGTAGAAATTGGGGGTTAATAATGGGTAGGAATTTTATCTAAAATACTAAAAATATACTGAAAAGTTGGGTTTTAATGACAGAAAATATCATAGCCTTCTTTTTACAAAAATTTAAAAGTTGGAGTTATTTTGTACGTCAATTTCCTGCAACGATATTTTAAAATAGAGGGCGTTCACAATTCTCGTCTGGCAAACTTACAAAGTTCACACTTTTGCAACGCAATTGAATACCCTGAATATATATACAAATATTGGCGCCAGACAGCCTTTAGCGTTTCGTTATGTAGGGCGTAAGAGTTGGCCTAAGCCGAAAATAAAAATAAAATTAAAAACAAATTTAACTAAAGACCGAGTCCAACAAATTTCCAGTACAGGAAGTCTTGTTATATAATAAGAGTTATAATTAAATTAATTAAATGATGTGATAAAAATATTAATCGCCGAACTTCCCAATAACAATATAGTTATTTTGTGAACTTACAGACCTAGTAATCTTTATTCTTCGGACTACGACCTGATTAAATTGATATTTGGCATTGCATTCCAAGTAAAAATTTATAAAATTGAAGCTATTGTGGTAAGTTGTATTATTATTGAAAATACCCGTCGAATTACATCTCGTTTGTTCAAGTCCATGACTTCGTTAAAAAGTGATACCAGATTCTGGAGGTAATTTTAAGTGGACATATTTTTGTTTGCTTTTTTAAGAATCTGAAAACTGTTAAACATTCTTAGGCAGCTTAATTTAAGAATCTTTAGCTATGTCCGTCTGGCTGTCTGTCTGTCCGTCCCTATGAACGCTTAGACTTTGGAAACTATAAAAGCTAGAAAGTTGAAAATTGGCATGTATATTCTTGAAATTCTGGTCTATTTCAGCAGAGTACCACGATCACTCTACCGCCCACAACTGCCTATACGCGCACCCTAAAACCTGTCTAGACCCCATATTTTTAAAGATTTTTTAAAAGTGTAAGTGAAATTTTTTTTGATAATCAATATATATTCGGACGATACATTACAAAATTATGCGCAAATAAAAAAATCGACGCTGGGTGGCGCCATTGGATTGCTCCATCTCCATCGAACTCTTCAGCTGAGTAACGGGTGTTTGATACTCAATGGCAACCAGAGGCGGGTTTCCATCACAGAAATTGTGAAAATTTTCGGAAATAGGGATAGATAGGGGCTATTTTTTAGTAACGCCGTTTTGTATATAGAGTGTATTTTAACGAAAATGTAGGTAAAATTAATGGGTTATATAATTTAAAATGTCGGCAAACATCGGATTTTTATATTCTTCGCGGAACATGTAGTTGATAGAAAATCGGTTTGTATATTTTATCAAAATATCATGTATATTTTGGTGTACCGGGTGATTGGTTTAAAAGTAGTTTTTCCTTATAACAGCTCATCAAAAGTGAAAATTTAACTACCTTAAATTCCTTTGTTTAGCCAATGAGCATCGTAGATTTTGATATACTTGTAAGCTGATGATCCTTGTACCAGCTCATGTTTACCGGATTGGCATGGCATGGCATGGGACATTCGCATAACAAACTGTCTTAAACTAAGGAATTTGAACATTAAATCTTTATCCCATAGCTCTAAAAGTTTTCGAGATCGCAGCGTTCACGCGGACAGAAGGACAGACCGACATGACTTAATCACGACTTAATCGGCTATTAATACTGATCAAGAAAATACATTTATACTTTAAAGGGTAGTAGACGCTTTCTTCTGTTGCATACCTTTTCCTCGAATAAAATATGTATACCTTCTCCACTTCACGACTAACGGGTGTAAAATTAAATTTCCTAGAGCGAAATTTTGTAATATTTGTATAATCAATCGTATCAAAATTAAAAGACATCAATGGTTTTCGGCACCTCCCATTGGAGTGGTGAAATTTTTGGTGTTGTTTGAACCTACAACTAAAAGAGTCTCTTTTGAGAGAAATCCGTTTAAAAAGTCCTCTTTAGCCCTTTTTTAGCAATCTTCCTTTGTATTCTCTTTTATAAACAAATTTGTTCGTCTGGCCAATATTCTTTTTTTTAATCAATCGATAGGTATTGACGAGACTAATACATAACAATTAAAATTTTGTTTCTAGCTTGAAAATTGTGGGCACCACAGACTGGATTTTTTTAAACTTTTTTTTGATCAATCGATATGTATTGACGTGACTAATACACTTCAGTTAAATTTTTTTATCCATCATGAAAATTGTGGGCGCCAAGGGTTTGGGCGGATTGTGGGCGCTAGAGTGGACGTTACATATTTGCGTAACAAACTTACGCTGCGTACAAGGCTATGGAATATAAATCTGAAATCCCAATTTTTTATCTTTAATAGTTTACGAGATATCCGCGTTTATATTTACGATTTTTTTAAGTTTGTGGGTGTTAAAGTGGGCGTGGAAAACTTTTTTTTGGGTCAATCGATAGGTATTGATGAGAACAATACATTTCTGCCTGTTACATACTTTCCGACTCTACGAGTAACAGGTAAAAAAATGTTGCAACGTCCATTCTAACGCCCATACACTTCAAAAAATCCTAAATTTGAACGATGATATCTCGGAAACTATCAAAGATAGCGAATTTGGATTTCAGATTCAGATTGATTAGCGAACTTGCCACGCCCACTTTAATTTTCATGAAACAAATTTTAAATGAAATGTATTGTCTCGTTAATACCCATCGATTGAACTAAAAAAGCGAACATTCCCCGCCCACTCTAACGCCCACCAGCTCCCAAACGCTTAAATCTGTCTGCCGCCCGCATAACCATATATTGAGATCGCGGGCAGGTTGCGCATTACAATCTCGCTTTGCTGCTGGTACAGTTCCATCTCCCTTCTGCTCCCTTTAGCTAAGTAACGGTTATCTGATAGTCGAGGCATTCGACTATGGCGTTCTTTCTTGTTTTTTTTTGGTCTTTCTCAAAAGAGATGAATTTGTTTTTTATACCTTAATAGGCTTTTAACTTTTCATGCTGGAGCCTGATAAACAAGAACGGCAATCGCATGAAAAGAATCATATTTTTAAGAAAAAACAATAAAGAAAACTCTTAAATTCATCAAACATCGCGTGCCATTCAAAGATGCGCTCAAGGTGATTCGCGTTTTTAAGGTTTTAGCATGAAAAGTTAAATGTCTGTTAAGGTATTGTACTCTGTCGTTCTGTATTTAGTTTCAGTTGAACAAAAAAATGTCTTAGTCTCCTATAATGTAAATAAGAATTGTATGAGGTGTGACTACACTGCTAAGAAGTTAAACACAACCCATGCGACCAACACCACTTTTTCACGTCTTTTTCACCCGCTTCCTTTTAAGCGACATTTCTAAGCCTCCAAAATAAAATCATTCACCCATATTTTCGTATAAACCCTGCGCGCGCAATTGCTTTTAGAAACGTTACCGTAATATTATGTTTAGTTTCAATTTGCCTTTTGGTACTTGTACAGTTCTGTGAATTTCAGTTAACATTATTCGATAATTCTATTTATTTGCACATAACAGTCTTAAAACATAATTAAGCAGCCAGGTACTCTAGTAGAATATATTAAATGGTTTATTTTCGGATAATATAAAGAGAAACAAAATGTATATAAAACATAAATTTCATTTATTTATGAATTGAATTTTTTTCTCAAATATATGACAAACATATTAAATTAATTGTTTAAACATTTATAAGTAGATGAAATGCCAGGATATTATAAATGATTGTCATTTGGCTTTTGATTATATTTCAGCTAACTGACTTGTTTTATTTCGCATACAAAAAAATATATTATTCCCTTAGAAAGCTCTTACATAAAAACTAAGAACACCGATGAACTCAAATTGGTCAATTTATGCAAGTTCGCCAAGACTTGTATTATACCCTTGCAAACGCAAACTAGTCTCTTAATTTTAAAGCTATCGATCTGAAACTTTCCCAAAAGTCTTCTTTAATTTGCAGGTAGTATATAAATCGGAACCAGCCGGATCGGACAACTACATCTTATAGGTCCCATAGGAATAATCGGAAAAATAAAATTTAAGAAAATTATATTTTTGGTGTTTTTTAACATATAACCTCCTAGGCTTGGAAATAACATTTTTTAATTAGTTTTGAATTTCGAATAAAATTTTATCAAAATCGGACGACTATATCATATAGCTGCCATAGTAACGATCAGAAAGTTGGTGGGAAAATAATATGAAACAAATTAAAGCTTCGGTGTTTTTTAACATATAACCTCCTACGCTTTGAAATAACATTTTTTAATTAGTTCTGAAATGCGAATTTAATTTTATCAAAATCGGACGACTATATTATATAGCTGTCAAAGAAACGATTGGAAAATTGTTGGGAAAATAATATGAAACAAGTTATAGCTTTGGTGTTTTTTGACATATTATCTTATACTATTGGAAATATTTTTTTTGTTTTTTTAAGAATTTCGAATTAAATTTAATAATTATAACTGCAAGGGTATACAAACTTTGGCCTGCCGAAGTTAACTTCCTTCTTGTTTTTTTATTTTTATAAACCAATGGTTATATATATTTGTTATAAAACTCAGGCAAACATCGTTATTAATGACAAGAAAAATTAAAATAAATACAAAATAAATCAAAAACGATTAATATTATAGCTTTTACCAAAAAGGGCTGAAAAATTAAAATTTTGGTATTTTTTATAGTCAGTAGCTCCGATAAATGGAGTCCGATCACAAAATGTGATATGTCTTCGCCAAACGGTTAGATAATTGGATTCTGAGATATAAGCTCTTTAATACAGACACCCTTTAAAAAAATCATATTTTTTGCGAATTTTTTTATTTCTTTGGAAAATGTGTTTCCTCTCCTACGCTTGGAAATAACATTTTTTAATTAGTTCTGAAATTCGAATTTAATTTTATCAAAATCGGACGACTATATTATATAGCTGTCAAAGAAACGATTGGAAAATTGTTGGGAAAATAATATGAAACTAGTTATAGCTTTGGTGTTTTTTGACATATTATCTTATACTATTGAAAATATTTTTTTTGTTTTTTTAAGAATTTCGAATTAAATTTAATAATTATAACTGCAAGGGTATACAAACTTTGGCCTGCCGAAGTTAACTTCCTTCTTGTTTTTTTATTTTTATAAACCAATGGTTAAACATATTTGTTATAAAACTCAGGCAAACATCGTTATTAATGACAAGAAAAATTAAAATAAATACAAAATAAATCAAAAACGATTAATATTATAGCTTTTACCAAAAAGGGCTGAAAAATTAAAATTTTGGTATTTTTTATAGTCAGTAGCTCCGATAAATGGAGTCCGATCACAAAATGTGATATGTCTTCGCCAAACGGTTAGATAATTGGATTCTGAGATATAAGCTCTTTAATACAGACACCCTTTAAAAAAATCATATTTTTTGCGAATTTTTTTATTTCTTTGGAAAATGTGTTTCAGGACTCCAGCGTGTACAGGGATCACAACTTAGTCTAAGATAAAGCGGTAAAACTGCACTTTTTTGGCTGTAAGCTAGTGTTATTTGTTAGTTTAATTTTATAAAACTCAACACGCGATTGCGGCCATTGTATTAAGGATTTTTATATGATTTAAACAGATTCTTCTTCGTTTGACCACGTAGTTATAATGTGTATAAATAACTAAAAAAAAGTTTATTTTAACATTAAGCTATTTAAGAAATGGACTTAAGCTGAAAAGGGGGCAATTTTGTACAACTTTTTTGTATAACATGGATATATAGCTTTTTTACGGATCTGCTAGCTATCGGTTGCGTTGCGAGATCTCAGAAGTCGTTTCGCAATATCAAGGTAAAGGGAAAAACTTGGATAAAATTTTATCCCTTCTTAGCTAAAGTTATGATGGCAAAGAATAACTATTTCAGTTTCTTGACCATTTGAACCATTCGACCTAAAAGAAAAGTCTCATTGAATGAGACGTTTCCGACCAAAGTCCAAGTTACTATATGGGACGTTCTTTTACAAGCCGACAACGCATTTTACAGTTTTGAAGCCAATTTTGTAATATTTTAACTTTTCTGTCTTCCTTTTATATTCCAAAACTCCCTTTTATGTATTTATTAGAGATCCTATTTTTACTCGTTACTCGTAAAGTAAAAGGGAATACTAGATTTGTCGGAAAATATGTAACAGATATAAGAAAGCCATTCCGACCCCATGAAGTATATAAATTCTTGAAGAGAATTACTAGCTGAGTCGATCGCATATCCTGTTTCAGTAAAAATTGTATTTTATTCGTCCTGTCAATACCTACGGCACGCCGAAAAATGTTAAAACCGGACCAATTTTTAAAGTCCATCGTAGTAGATGAAAGCGAAAAAGTGAGTTTGAGGCAGATCAAAAATGTGAAAAATATTTTTTGTGAAGTCCGATCGGATTGTAAAAGAACGCCCCATATGCGGATATGACATTGCGGCTTATAGGCTGTCCTGGACATTATTTGAATTCAGAAAAATTTAATTTTATATGACTTTTACTGTTATTTGTTTGGTTCAAAGCAAATATTGGAGTTCAGAATAATACAATTTTACATGCCTTTTTCTGTGATTTGTTTGGTTCAAAAGGCAAAGTTACTTCAGCAATTGAATGTTCATTTTAACCTCGTCTAGAAACGCCCATAACGTTGAAAACTTTCTAGCGCCCTCAGACTTGAAGATTTTGTAAAACTGTAAACGAGATTTTGGGATTGGGATTGGGTCCGTCTGTTTGTGTGAACGCTGTGATCTCTCAAACTATAAGCCCATTCCGACGCCCACAAGCCGCCCTAAACTTTCGCTCTTACAGTGCAAGTGCTAGAAATAAATGGTAACTATAAAAACTATAAGTGTTGCCACGCCCGCTCGAACGTCCACAAACCGCCCAAGATTGAACGCTGGTGTCTACAAAGTTTGGATTGGAAATTGATTTACTAGAAATATTTGTCTTATTGGTTGTGAACAATGGGAAATAATTTTGCACCGTGAATATGGAAATGTTTGCCCGGCAATGGAATAATTTCGAGTGTACTAAGTTTCGGGAAAAAGAGGATTGGAAAAAAATGTTTAACTTAAATACATTTTTTAAAATCGTATTTAACTTTGAAAGGCCTTAATAAATTCAAATATTCATAAGAAAAGGAAGCTAACATCGGCAAGCCCTACCCTACCGCAACCATTGTAGGTCGATGCTATGGGAGCATTGTATTTGCAGAGCTTTACGATTTTTAGAAAACAAAGAACTAATTACAGAAATTTTAAGAAAATTTTGCATTTCAATGCTAATATGGGAGCATTGTATGTACAGAGCTTTCCGATTTGTAGAAAACAAAGAACTAATTACATAAATTTTAAGAAAATGTTGCATTTCGCAAATATAACGGTCTTTTTATTATTTTGACATTAATTATCCGATCGTTCCTATGGCAGCTTTATGATAGGGTCGTCAGGTTTTTTAAATTTTAATCGAAACTCTCAAGTATTTAAAGAATGATATTTCCAATAGTAGAAGCTAATGTATTATACTCGTATATATATATATGTTAAATAACACCGAAGTAACAATTTGGTTTTCTTTTAGGTATTTTTTGATTATTCCGACACGCACCTACTACATGCAGTAGAAATAAGAGTTTTTGTGAAGGTTATTTTTGATTACTGCGACATAGTTGTCCGTTCCGACTCATTCCGACTTATATACGAGTCTTAACATAAAAATTTAACTAACAGTATACTAAGACTGCATTATGGTTGCGCGTCCCTCAAGTCGGTCGCTCAAGTCATTGCGACGGATACGTGATTGGTTGCTCAGCCTTGTTAGACGTCTCGCCAGGTGGTTAGGGTGCAAATGTAGCTTGGTAAAGTACTTTTCCTTCTGTTTTGCGACCACTTCTTTGATTTTTAGAATGATTAAGTCACGATGTATGTTTTCGTTGCGAACGTACCACGGTGCCACGGTGATTGTTTTCAAGATCTTCGACTGAACTCGCTGGACTATGTCAATATTGCTATTGCTGGCATTCCTCCATAACTGGGAGCCTCATAGGTTTTAGTACCGAGATATATAGCAGGTCTTTATATACAAGGCAAGGGGAGACCGAGCGTGATAAGCCAATGAAAGTTGTTTATCGTGAAAGGCGGGTGGCTTTTCCTGTTCAGGGTGAACGTAACGTGCTTGCATTTTTGTTCGTTCACTTTAATTCGACATTTTTCGACATCGACCAGATGAAGAGCTAGCTACACAGTTTCTTGCATCGGGCATTTTGAACAGCTAAAAATTGCTGTATCATCAGCAAGCGTTGATGTTGTTAGTCGTGTGCTTGTCGAGATGTCTGCTGTGTAGAGGACATATAATGTTGGCTCAAGCACGCTACCTTGAGGAACTCCAACTCCAATAGTGAAATTGTCAGTTATAGCAGTGTTGCACCTTACATCCAATTTTCTGTCGTAGAGGTTATACTCTAAAAGCTTGTGGGTGTTATAGGGGGGCATTGTCTTGATCTTGTACATTAGACCTTTTAGCCAAACTCTAT